GTCTGTAAAAAAAAGAACTCGTAGGAAAGTGCAACGTAAGTATGCGATTAATAATAAAAGTGTAAGATGTTGGCCTGCCAATAAGGTCGAGCCAAGTGTGGGGCTGTATTAAATATATACAGCCCCTATTTTCCGCTATGGGGGTACATATACGGTGCCCTGGTTGAATTTTATCTGGGCTACCGGACTCGTCTAACCGTGTCTGTGGTCTTAATGACCAGTCATGTATATGATATCTGGAGGTTGCTTACAGTTCGGCCGTATATTGGGTCAAGCACCAAGGCATGTGATCCTCCGCGCCGAATACTAGTTTGGCCGTCCGTGTGATCGAAAGTGATCGGACGAGACATCCAGTAATGAGATGTAGGTATGATGGGCTCTACATCGTGCGCGTCTATGGGAGCACGTCCATGCCTTCTCGTGGATGTGTGAGTCGCGTGGATCATGTTTACTGTTTTAACCTCTGGCGGGAATTTTTTCTGTCCCTCAGTGTTCGGCTGCCGAGGTTCATCCTCGTCTTCGCTTGGTGTGTCCCTCCCCTTGTGTTCGGCATTTAATTTGCCGGCATGCTTGAAGACCCAACACTCTCTATGGGTGTGGTTCGCAGGTTTCTTCGGGGTGCCATGAATTTGGCATAGTCTGTCCAGGACTCTGTTCAGACCGGACGGTCCCTCTTTACTGCCTTTGAGTGTCTTCTTTTGCTGATCAGGTCGAGAGCCCCTAAATCCGGCGTTGACCGTCGTGTTATCCGGGCTCTCTTCATTGTTTTGGCGTTTGTTTTTATTACGCCGTGGCTTCCTGTTGTCATCCCTTATTTTGGATGCGGTGGGGTCGCTGGTGCCTTTACAGGCCAGCCAGCTATCTTCACTCGCGCAAAAGCGGGTCATAAGTCTTGTTAAGGCTGCCATTGTCTTTGGCTTTTCTTGGCCGAGGTGTCTGGCAAGCCACTCGTCACGGATGTGTTTGAATGCCGCTAAGGCTTCGGCGTCCGGACAATCAACAATTTGATTCTTCTTAATGAGGAATCTGTTCCAAAGCTTGCGGGCGGACTCTCCGGGCTGTTGGATTATGTGACTTAGATCGTCTGCATCCGGAGGCCGGACATAGGTCCCTTGAAAATTGGCCCTGAAAGCGTCTTCGAGTTCCTCCCAACTCCCAGTTGAGTTTTCGAGGAGGCTTTTCAACCAGTGTCGAGCTGGTCCCTTCAACTTGAGGGGAAGGTATTTGATGGCGTGGAGGTCATCCCCACGAGCCATGTGAATATGCAGGATAAAATCCTCGATCCAGACCCCTGGGTCTGTGGTGCCGTCGTATGCTTCTATGTTCACAGGTTTGAAGCCTTGTAGGAATTCATGGTCCAGTACTTCTTCGGTGAAGCACAGGGGGTGAGCAGCCCCTCTGTATCTGGACGCGCTGTGGCATGTAGTCGGTTGTTGTTGTGTCCGGAGTTTATTCTGGACTAGTATCTGGCTTGTATGAGCGTTTGGGTGACCATATTCCGTCGCTGGGGTGTGTCTTTTAGATCCATAGATGGACCTGGCTGCACCGGCCTTCTTATCTAGATGCTCACATAGGCCGTGCGCAGTGTCCGCAGCCGCTCTGTTATGGTTGTGAAGCGGTACGTCTGGTTTCTTGGTCGAATTTTCTTTTGGTGGAACGGTCGCGTCGTCGATTTCTGGCAGTAGCTTGCGCTTCGGATAGCTTTTCGTATGGCGGTCATCACCATATCTTTCTTCAGTGTCTAGCACCTTATTCCATCTGCGACTTAGCTTTTCCTGTGCGGCCTTGAGCCATTGCTTCTGCCTTTTTAGACTTCTTGCGGTGGCCATAAGCTTTCTGTGGAGGTTGTCTCGTTCCACTTGTTCGTCCGGGATGATGAATGCGTCGTCGTCCGGACTGTCTTCCTGTTCTGGGGCGGTTTCATGAGCTCGTCCCTCCGGATCATTGTGATCGGGTATTTGTTCCGAACTTGGTTCGGCATGACCTGCCTCGTCCTGCTCCATCGCTGGGTCCGTGTGGTCATTACTGCTTTCTGGTATGTCAGCCCTTCTTGCGCTTTTGTCGCTGTTTTTACTATTGCTGGACTTTGAGCGGCGCCTGCACCGCCATTTTGGCTTTTGTCCGGGTGTTTTATCTTCCGGATTATCGCTGTCATCCTTCTTGGGTGCATCTACCATGTATACGTCTTGTGACAAGGTAGTAGTCCCGCGCCCCATGGATTCTGAAGCTTCTCCTGCATCGTCGTCCATGCCGTCGATGTCTTCGGAGTCGAAGTTAAGAATGTCGGTTAAAGCATCGATCGTAGCAATGAAGTGGGTGGTGGGTGGGCAGCGAATTTCTTCGTCGCCTGCTTCCCACTCAAGCCGAACATAGTTCGGCCCAGAGCCTCCTGACAAAGAGAGAGACTTCAAAGAGTTCAGCATGTCGCCAAAGGGCGAGTGCTGAAAGATGTCCGCAGCGGTAAACTCCATTACTGGAGCCCAACCTGGTTTAGCTGGCTCGAGAGTATGCGGACCGGAACCAACAGCCGGATACGAGTCCGGGGGTCCGGGGTTACAGGCCTCCACAGAGATGAGACCTGTGTTCGGCTCTACCGCCGATGAGTGTGCGGCCTACAGGGCGGGGTCCACCCCTCCGTCCTTGGGCAATGCAATCTGCTCCGGATTTAGATCCGGGGCTGCTGCAGGGATGATGTCCTGAGCATTGTCCGACAGCAGGTCTAGGCCGTGCTCGCCGTGACTGTCCGGCGCTCCCGGCGAAGGGCCGAATCCGTCGGAGATCAAATCTCCGTGAACATCCGCCGTGTAGTTCAAGTTTCCGAACCTGATCTGGTGGCCAGGGGCATATCTGTCGATCTGCTCCAGATGGCCGAGCGAATTGGCCCGCAGTGTGAAGCCGCCGAACACAGAGATCTGTTCGGGGATAAAAGTCTCACCCTGGACCGTGTTGTTGACGATTGAAGACGCCATCAAGCCTCGAAGCGACGACACAGAGGAACTCTCAATGAAAGCACCAATGTCGGTGTCAAAACCGACGGATCTCGGGCAGGGGGTTTCGATCTGTGCGTCTTAGGCTGATGGTAACAGGAAGCAAGGGACACAATGTTTACCCAGGTTCGGGCCCTCTCGATAGAGGTAAAACCCTACTTCCTGCTTAATTAATATTGAAGATATGAGTAGTACAAGAGTAGATCTACCACGAGATCGTAGAGGCTAAACCCTAAGAGCTAGCCTATGATGGTATGATTGTAATTGTGATCGGCCTTCTAAGGACCATCCTCTCCGGTTTATATAGACACCAGAGAGCTAGGGTTTACATGGAGTCGGTTACAAGGAAGGAAACATAATATCCGGATCGCCAAGCTTGTCTTCCACGCAAAGAAGAGTCCCATCCGGACACGAGCCGAAGTCTTGAGTCTTGTATCTTGACGCTTCTATAGTCCGGACGATGAATATAGTCCGGCTGTCCGGATACCCCCTTATCCAGGACTCCCTCAGTCGTCGTCATTGTCCTCCTTCTGCTGTTGCTGGTCAGTGTATGAATCTGGCTGCTGGGTGTACGTGCCCGGCTAGGTGTACGTGTCAAACTGCATGTACGTGTCTGACTGGGTGTACGTGTCGGACTGCATGTACATGCCCGAATGCGTGCCCGACTACTGGGCGTGCACCTCCGGCTCCGAGTCATCAACCTGTCTGTCCTCGTAGCAGCCTCCGCCCCGTCGTGGATCATCTCAAAACATATGTCTGTCCGTGTCGTCGTACGCCGGCTCGCCTGGTTGAGACATACCGGCGTATAGAGAGCAGACACCGAGCTGCTCTATGTCTGACGTTTGTATCCAATCAAATTGCGGCGTTGTAGACTCACAGAAAAGGAGCGGGACCACACGTACTATGACACATGCCATATGGCAGATGCCCGGGACTGCCTCCTGAGTTGTTGGGTGGCACAAAAGTAGGGAGACTTGTATTCTTTCTACCAGGATGATGTGTGCATGGACGATGATGGGGCGGCGCCTCGCGCCCCAGGCCACGCCCCCTGCACCGCCTCTGCTGCCCTTCTTTTTGAGTGGCACTATCTTTGCCTTCTGTTTGAGGTGGTGGGCTTGCTGTGTCGTTGAGTTGATATCTCCGGCGGCCGCCTTCACCATATCCTCCACCTCCGCTGTCTTCGGCAGCTTTTCGTGTGAGTCCATGCGACAACGGCACAAAAGGGCGAGACTTGGGGTGGAGAGCAGCGGGATGATAGTAGAGTGTTGAGAAGGATGGTTTTGTCGCGGAAACAATGCGGTTAGCTCCAAATACTCGGGCTTCGCCTTAGTTTTTGGTGGGCCGGGGGTGTCCGAATCCTACATAGCGGGTGTCTGGACTCGTGCAAAACCTCCTGATTTGCTTTTGATCTGCAGAAAAACAGGAACTTGAACTGTAGTTTGCGGATAAATACAAGACATCATTGGATGGTTTGCGGCGTCCAAACCGTTTGCTCGAGACGGATACGGGAGGTTTGAGTGTTCGCGTTCGAGAATCATGGTTTTATAGCTATATCGTGCACACAGATGAGTTGGTACATTTGAAACATCCATCGTCGATTTCAAAAGCAAGGCCACCACGCAATCTGACCAGCAGAGAAAACAAGCGGAAGAAATCCAAACCCCCACCGCAAAGCCTGCAACATCCTGGCCAAACGTGTCAGTCAAAGAAAGCGAACAGGCGGCACGGGGAAAAAGAAGAGAAATTAAAAGCGGCCGCCAACTGGAACGAGCCCATCCCGTCCCGTCCCCCCAAAAACCGCAGCAAAGGAAGAACGGAAAATCATCGAGCTCGCCGCGACGGATCCGAT